TTCCTGTGGATGGTGAGGGGTGGGCAGAGATGCCAGGAAAAGGGGGCCTGGGTGGGCCACTTACCTTGACCACTATTATTTATTTATTTTTCAAGATTTAATTATTTATGTGAAAGGCAGAGGTACAGAGTGTGTGTGTGTGTGAGAGAGAGAGAGAGAGAGAGAAAGTTTGTGATCTGCTAGCTCACTCCACTTCCCAAATAGCTGCAACAGCTGGGGGCTGGGCAAGACCTCAGCCAGGAGCCTCAAAGTCCATCTGGATTTCTGCCATGAGTGGCAGGGGCCCAAGCACTTGGGTCATCTTCTGCTGCTTTCCCAGGTGCACGAGCAGGGAGCTGGATTGGAAATGGAGCAGCAGGACTCCAGCTGTCCTGCATATGGGATGTCAGTGAAGCAGGCAGCAGCTTAACCCACAGCAGCTGTGCCACAATGCTGGCCCCCAGCCACTGTTATTGAAAATCAGTGCTAACCAAGAAACGTGAGAGATAAAAGATAAAGCACACACATAGACACACACTTATCATTAAACTGCTAAAAATGATTCAATAGAAAAAAAGCCTTTTAATTACAAGAGAACAGCTTGCTAAGGAATTATGATTTCAGAAGACAGATTGAGCACACGCTTTGCTCTTTCTCTTCTCGCTCCAATCATGGCCACTGCACAGAATAATAGGGAGCAAATTCATTATAGTTTGCAAAGCAAAGCAAAAACACTGCCCTTTTAGCTTACATCATGTTGATTCCTTGAAAAGATGGGAACACAATGAAATGAGGCAAATTCAGCTTGGATTTAAAAAAAAAAAGCCCCATCATCCTGAACCATGAAGAAACAGTCAACGTGCAGGAGGGAAGATCCACAGGCGTGGGTTTCAGAAGCAAGAGGGGTCAGGGCTGAAATCATTTGCATTGAGCATGGTCATACATGGAAGGAAAGCACAGGAGCTGCTCCTCCTCCCCACATTTCCCTTCCTCGCAAGGCTGAAAGCTGAAATCATTCGCATCCTGGTCTCCCGCAGATGTCTGGGAAAGTGAAGACCTGCAGGTGAGGTCCCAAGAGCAGCGCCTGAGCCCACAGAGCAGATAGAGCGTGAGGAGCAGGACAGTCCCCAAGGCCATGCCCCGGGATGCTCCCTCCATTGAGGGCGGAGATACAGACCTTGGCCTTGAAGAGCTTGGTCCTCAAAACTGAAGAAAACTAAACCCAACACCTCAGCTCAGCAGGTTGACTGCAACGCGGAATTAGTGAATATGGCAAACAGACCCAAAGAATTCTCATATAATGTGAAGCCAAAGGGTGAAATCTTTAAGGAAAAAGCAAAAGAAACGTCTCATATGTAATGGGAGTTTCTGAAGGAGTAGCAAAAATCCAGGGGAAGAAATTCTTAAGTAAGAACAGAGTATGTTTTTTCCCAAATTAATGAGAGATATGTTTTCAAATTTGAAGAGTAGGATAATATGAAAAATAACTCTCCCTCACCTGTACACATAATTTCAGAATACTGAGCAAAGAGTAAAATCTAAACCTGAGAACAAAGAGCTAAACACGCACAACACACTTGCACAAAGAGAGAGAAACATGTCATAAATGGAATTAGAACTTAAGCACACATCTCACTGGCCACACATGATACATAAAGATGATCAACCAATACATTCGGTCATCTGAGTTTGGAAATTACTTGGGAACATAATTCTGTCATAAGAAAAATGTGTGTTAAGACAATAGAGAATTTTTCTGACACGTAAGAAATGATAAACTGTATCCCTATAGATGCCTTTTGAAAGAATTGTGAAAGAACCTTTTCCAGCAAGAAGAAAATAAAAACGAAGGAAGGAAGAGAATGCAAGAAGGCAATTAAAGATGCAAATGAGAATGATGCTAATAGTTACATCGTGATGTAATTATTCATGGTGGGGTTGCCTTAGGTGTGTAAAGCCTAAACACACACAATGTGATACTACTTATCATTTACGGACATAAGTAGATGCACTAAAATATGAAACCATACAGGCAATGACATATGTCAAATTCAGATTAGAGGTTACCTCTTGAGGGAGAGGGAATAATAGGATTGGGAAGGAGTCCAAGGAGGGGGGGATTCAATTATATAGGTAATGTTTTATTTCTTAAGAGAAAATGAAGATAAAGATCCTGAGCAAATGTAGTTAAGTGTTAACATCTGTGAAGCCTGGGCATGGAAAGTATGGAATTTGTTATATTCTTATTTATCATTTTTTTTAACATTTGAAAATTTTGAGAACTCTCCTAAGGAGTGGATGAGTAGTGAGGAAGTGAGGATTTGAGCAGATAACCACTGAAGGTGTGTTGTTGTGGGAGTTCAGAGGGAGGGGACAGGGAATAGGGAGGGTTGTGACATTAGGGAGGCAGTTTTGGTTGTGTGCTAATGGGGTTGAGCTGCCAGAGGGGAGGGAGCTTGGAAGGAAAGAATTCGGGTGATGGAATTGAGGGTGTGCTACCTGCAGCAGCACCAGCAGGAAGCTCACGCTCACTGTCTTCTCACTCTTTCCTGAACAGCTCAGAAAACCTTCAATTCGGAGGGTGCCCTCCCACACCCAGAGGTGTATTTTTTAAGTCCCTACCCCCCAGATCATTACCATTAGATTGTATCTCCTTGTCCAAGCATGCCTGTCCCCACTTCATCGTATCTAGCATACAAATACAGTTTTCTATGTTATTCTTCAATTTTGAAGACTTTCATGTCACTTAAAACTTACATTAAGTCACAGGTGTTTGGTGAAGTGGTTAAGCATCAGAGGATCTGAATGTAAGCATTGGCATGGACTCCTGATTCCAGCTTTGGCTAATGTAGACCCTGGGAGATAGCAGGTGATGGCTCACCTGTAGTTGGGTTCCCGCCACCCACATGGGAGACCTGAATTGAGCTCTTGGCCCCAGCTTTGGCCACAGCTGTTGCAGATATCTGGGGGAGTGAATCAGAGTTTGGGACCTTGCTCTATCTTATTCTCTTTCTGCCTCTGAAATAAATAAATGAATGAATAATTTAAAACCCATACACTAAATACTTTCGTAGGCTTTCTTGTGTATCTATCATGTTACAGACCTCAGCCCTGAACTTAAAATGGGAAGGAAAGATTTCTTTCCCCAACACAGAGCATTTGAGGAAGCTTTTGCCATTCATAGCAAGCGGAAGTCATAGTTTTTTTTTTTCCTTTTGAACATCAGGAAAATAGAGCTGAAATCATGGATACTGATGGGTTTTCAGAATGTGGCAGTCCTCCCAGATGTCTTCTGTTTGATCAGTGGTAAAAGAAGTTAAAACCAGCATCAGAGACTGCATGGAGGGGTATGGGGGTGGCTTTTTGGTGAAGTCATGTTTATTGAAGGAGTCTTTACATCTGGTGAAGTTTTCTCCTTTTCAAGTAGCGTCTTCTAAGTTTTGGAGAACACACAATCACCACCATGATCAACACAGTTGTAATTCAATGTCCGAGAGGGATTAGTTGCAGGACCCCTGAAGATACCCAAATCAGATGCTCGGTGTCCCTTCTATGACATGGTGTAGTATCTGCAAATAACTCATGTACACCCTTCCACATATATTAAATCATCTGTAGATTACTTTTTTTTTTTTAAAGATTTATTTATTTATTTGAAAGTCAGAGTTACACAGAGAAAGAAGGAGAGGCAGAGATGGAGAGAGAGGTCTTCCATCCTCTGGTTCACTCCCCAACTGGCCACAACAGCCAGAACTGCGCCGATCTGAAGCCAGGAGCCAGGAGCCTCTTCTGGATCTCCCACATGGGTGCAGGGGCCCAAGAACTTGGGCCATCTTCTACTGCTTTCCCAGGCCATAACAGAGAGCTGATTTGGAAGTGGAGCAGCCAAGACTTGAACCGGTGCCCATATGGGATACTGGCACTGCAGGTGGTGGCTTTACCCACTACACCACAGTGCTGACCCCTATAGATTACTTGTAATACCCAACACTATGCCAAGAATCACTATAGTGTATTGTTTAGGGAATAATGCTAGGAAAAAAAAATCTGTACATATTCAATGCAAACACGAATCTTTTACAAACATTTTTGATTCATGGTTAGATGAATCTGCAGAAGTAGAACCCATAGACATAAAGGGATGGCTGAGTATAGGAGTTTCATCATCTCCCCCGAATGCTCATATGCCTTTTTGAAGTCAACTCTTCTCACCCTAGAGGTGGCAATCAGTCTTCTAATTTCTGTCTTTATCCTGCCTTTTCCAGCATATCATATAGGTGGAATAATTGAGTATCGAGCCCTTGGAGTTGGTCTCCTTTCACTCATAATGTGGTTGAAATTCACCTATGTTTCAGTAGCTCAATCATTTCTATCACTAAGTAGAATCCAGTTTGGAAGGATTCTGAATAAATTCACTGTATACATTTACGTACAGGTTTTGGGTGAACATAACTTTCACTTTGCTTGTGTCAATCCTAGGGAGTGGCATCAGGGAGTTCTGTGGTAAGTTGATGGTTCCATTTACAGAAAATTGCTGAACTGATTTCCAAGGGGACTGAACCATGGGTATGAAGTTTAGAAAGAAGGTGTAAAATCTGTACCTCTCAGTGGAATGGCCTTATTCTCAGTGTCTTGGTCAGTTTCTGAACCCACCCCTTCCTACCAGACAGCATCAATGCATCCACGAGGGCTCTACCCCCATGATCCCAACACTTCCCATAAGGCTCTGCCTTTCAACACTGCTGTATGGAGGGTCCCAGACTCAACAGCAGTGCTGCTGGGGAAAGACTACGTTCAGACCAAGCACTCTCTGTGTCCCTCCACTCTCAGTCTCTGCTGTTTGTCCTGTGTGCTCTGGGAGCCTGCCCTGCTGACTGCATCATCTGAATCTTGTACAACTCTTGAGGATTTGCCAATGGAAAACATAGCGGTACAGGAAGGAGACTGGGGGCCAGGAAGAGAGAGAGAGAGAGAGAGAGAGAGAGAGAGAAAGAGGAATTAAGCATTTCTTTCCTACTTACTCCCTTTGTACAAGTGACTGTGTCCGTCCAGATTCTTCTGCTGGGGGGACCAGCATCCTCCAAGATTCGGTAGTGCTGCATGGAGAACAGTCTTGGTTTCATCAAGATGGAGACTGAAGGTGTGAGCGGGTGCTGGGTGAGAAGGTCAACCTTTTTTTTTCCCCAATCCTTCAGGTCTAAGCTCAAAGGAACTCTTTCTGATCACTTTTCCTAAAAGGGCTCCCCTGACAAAGTTCTGTTTCCTCAAGGACAGTCGTGTCCATCTGTGACGAGCACGCTGCTCGCTCATTTGCTGATTGGACTGTGCCCAACAAGCAAGCTCCTCTTTGACAGGTCTGTCCGCTCCTGTGCTTGGCACAAAGCATGGGAGGAGTGGAGGCGGGACCCTGTCTACCCGACACACTCTTCGCCCTATGGGTGTATCAGAGTTAACCGCTGAGAAAGCAACCCTGCTCTGTTTACGCCAGTGCGTTCTCTCCTAGCTCATTACTTGAATCAGGATCAGTTGCTTTGAGGTTGGTGGTCTGGAAGATACAGGCCGGGTCCTTACGGAAAAAAAAAAAGCTGTTCACGGCTCGTTTTTGTGGGGAATCTATGAAAACTGATCTCACAGAAGTGGAGAGTAGAATGGGGATTTCCAGAGGGTGACGAGGGTGGGGGAAGGGGGAAGGTCAAGGTCAAGTGAAGGAGACTAAGTTATAGCTTGATAGGATAACGAAGTGCACACTAGAGTATCTATAGATAATTAGATATATGTATAATTGTATCATTATCTAAATGATATATATCTTATTATCCATGATATATATCATTATTTATATGATATATATCAAGAGAACATATATATATAATGTTCTGTATATATATATTTTTTAAATATTTATTTTATTTATTTTTTTAAAGATTTTTTTTTGACAGGCAGAGTAGACAGTGAGAGAGAGAGACAGAGAAAAGGTCTTCCTTTTCTGTTGGTTCACCCCACAATGGCCGAAGCCAGGAGCCAGGTGCTTCTCCTGGTCTCCCATGCGGGTGCAGGGCCCAAGCACCTGGGCCATCCTCCACTGCACTCCCGGGCCACAGCAGAGAGCTGGACTGGAAGAGGAGCAACCAGGACAGAATGTGGCGCCCCAACCGGGACCAGAACCCAGTGTGCCAGCACCACAGGCGGAGGATTAGCCTATTGAGCAGCGGCGCCGGCCAAAGATTTATTTTATTTATTTGAAAGACAAAGTTACAGAGAGAGGTAGAGACAGAGAGAAAGGTCTTCCATCAGATGGTTCACTCCCCAGATGGCCGCAATGTCCGGAGCTGCGCTGATCCCAAGCCAGGAGCCAGGAGCTTCTCCCGGTCTCCCACACGGGTGCAGGGGCCCAAGGACTTGGGCCGTCTTCTACTGTTATCCCAGGCCATAGCAGAGAGCTGGATCAGAAGAGGAGCAGCCAGGACTAGAACCGGTGCCCATATGGGATGCTGGCACTTTAGACCAGGGTGTTAACCTGCTGTGCCACAGCACCGGCCCCCTGTATGTATGTGTGTGTATATATATATATATATATATATATATTTTAAACATTTATTTATTTATTTGAAAGTCAGAGTTACACAGAGAGGAAAGGCAGAGAGAGACAGAGACAGAGACAGAGAGAGAGAGAGAGAGAGATCTTCCATCCACTGGTTCACTCTCCAATTGACTGCGATGGCAGGAACTGCCCTGATCTGAAGCCAGGAGCCAGGAGCTGATTCCAGGTCTCCCATGTAGGTGCAGAGGCCCAAGGACTTGGGTCATCTTCTACTGCTTTCCCAGGCCATAGCAGAGAGCTGGATCGGAAGTGGAGCAGCCAGGACTTGAACCAGTGCCCATCTGGGATGCTGGCACTGCAGGCGGCAGCTTTAGCTGCTATGTCACAGTGCCAGCCAGCCCCCTGTATATATATTTTAAGAAGAAAAGATTTCACTTACTTTCACCATAGAGAAATGGTAAGTGTTTGAGAACATAGATATGTATGCCCTGATTTGAACATTGTGCAATAAATATATGGATCAACATGGCACATGGCACCCTATAAACTTGGACAATTATTTTGTATCAGTTAAGAAAATAGGGTGTGGGGGCAGGTGTGGCACAGCGAGTTAAGTCACTGCCTGCAACACCGGCATCGCATATGGGTGCTGGTTTGAGGACTGGCCACTCCACCTCTGATCCAGCTTTCTGCTAATGTGCCTGGGAAAGCAGAGGAAGATGGCCCAAGTGCTTGGGCCTCTGCTACTCTCGTGGAAGACCTGGATGGAGTTCCTGACTCCTGGCTTTGGCTTGGACCAGCCCCAGATATTGCAGCCATTTGAGAAGCAAACCAGCAGATGGAAGATCTCTCTTTCTCTCTCTGTAACTCAACCTTTCAAATAAATAAATTTTTCAAAAAAAATTCACAAACCCGTGTGGACCAACTTTTATACAAAGAAACAGATGTGGCAGTAAGGTAGTAAGATAATGAAAACTAAAATTGATAGAGAAGTCAACAGAAAATGGCATATTATTCAAAATGTTGTTCACAATGTTTTTCTGAGAGAGTGAAGTCATTGGAGTTTTTTTACATTTTATATTATGTTTAAATCTTATATAAATTTTATAAGTCACATAACCCATGAAGAAAACACAAATATTTAATGTTAATAACTACTAGCTAGACTAAATCATTTTATAGCCAGCAAATAATAATAGTTTTGATTTTTAACCTGATAGTAATGTTTCGTAGAGAAGGTAGACTTTTAGTTAAATGGCTTTGAGGGAGTAGGAGGTAGGACAGGAGTGGGGTGGGAGGGTGGGTGTGGGGGGAAGAACCGCTATATTCCTAAAGCTGTACTTATGAAATTTGTGTTCATTAAATAAAAGCTTTCTAAAAAAAATAAAAGAATCCCTGTGTCTGTCAATTGGATAATATTTGTCTAAGTTCCCTTCCTCAATCTCAAGGTATCTCATCTACAAAATGGAGAAAATTACTGTGAGATTTCCTGGGTCTTTGGAGATAATTTACTTTGTGATAATTTACTTAGTAACTGGCACAAATATTCTCTCTTCTAGGAATACAACTTCAAAGGAATGTGTGCTCCTTTCCTTCTGAGTGCTCCTAAAAGTGATTTTATCTCTGAAACAAAATCACGCATCTCCATAAAGGATGCACTCTCTTGACATCATTTATTTTTCTTTTAATTATACCAATATTCTCTCTCGGGCTTCAGAATGTCACATTGTGATCACTGCTGCTCCCTCCTTCAGTTATAGTCAGTCACCGAATTCCTTTGGCTTCTTATTCATCTACAATGATACATGAAGGGGAGTCTTCAAAAAGTTCATGGGATATTCATAGTATGAAAACTCTATGCATGGCTGTCAAACATTTTTGCACCAAAAATAAACTTGTCTTTTAATTCCATTTCTTCATGAACTTTTTGCAGGACCTTTGTATATGGTATTCTTGTTTCTCTTTGCTACTAAGAGAACTTTATCTTTTTCCCTAGTTTCACACAGGTGTGAACCAACTCCTTGCTCTTTCCCTACTCGTCATGTCATGTCTCCCTTCTGAACTCTCAGCCTCCATAGACTCCTATTCCTTACCTACAAGAGTTTTCTCATATCCTGGTATGTACCGGTGCTCAGCTACTGTATGGAAAATGAATATTGGATGCCTCTTCAAGACTTTCCAAGTCCAACACTACCCAACGCATGAACTTTCCCCAATGGGAATCACTCAGCTAGCCTTCCTCTCTGTCTTCCTTTTGTGCTAAGCCCAGTTCTCTGTCCCACATAACACAATACATGTCATCAGCCTCCTCTGCTAAAATCTATTCTTTATGATCCTTCTCATAATCCAATTCTTTTGAGAGCTCTTTGCTATGAAATTTACCTTTCTTCAATTTTTTTGGCATTTACTTTTAATAGGTACCCTATATTAAAAAAGCACAACTGGGCTATCTTGTGTATCATTTACTCTTCTGAGTGTTGATTATAATGTCACAAATAAATTGTGACTGAACCAGAGACCAGGCTGGATCGAGCAAGGAGTGAAAGTTTGGTGTTACTGCTAATGGAGTAATTATGTGAGATTTTACATTTTTCTTACAGAATGGACTTGACACCATAGTATCGTACATAAAGCTGAAATCCTTAATTAAAAAAAAAATGCAGAAAAATCCCAGGAGGCTAAAAATGCAGGAATATGCCTGACCTCCTGGCTCTCTTTGGAGAATCTATACTTTGGAGTCACCATAAGGCCTGTGACAATTCCTGTGGGCAGAATTTGCCTGAATAGAAGCCAATATCTTTCAATGAAACAGTGGAGAAAGAGTTATACTTTTCTATAAACTTGTTTATTGGTTTCTCTGAGAGGCAGCCAAATGGGGGTCATTGGCCACGTTCAATAGATTAAGCTTGATGAAATGCCAGGGCTCCCCTCCTCCTCCTCCTGCCTTCCTGGATCACCACAAGAGAGAGCCCCCTCTGACCCTTTCCACCTTCGTTTTGTTCCCCGGTACTTCTACCATATGACAACTTATGTTTTGTCTACATGTTTCTTTGTCTTTTTCCATGGCGACAGAAGCTTGTCTGCCTTGTTCCCTGCTGTGTTCTTAGTGCTTTGAACAGCGCTCATCACATAGCAGTCCCTCAGAACGGATGAGTGAGTGATTTTGTCAAGTAGCAGCAGAACCAAAATGGGCATGGTAACCAATGATGGGCTAACAATGGGAGCGGGGAGGGGCCCGTTAGTATGCAGTGTGTTCTCTGGAGCACATGAAGAATCGCGGTGGTCACAGGCATGTCTGGTGGCCCCAGCAAAACCCCTTGGTCCGTCTCTGACTTCAGCTAAGGCACAGGGGACTGAGTTCCATGCAAGCTCAGATTTACCTGTCTTATGTACACCAAGAAGGGCCTTTTCGCTTTTGCACTGGAGTCTTCTCTAACGCACAGGACTTCATGAGCCAGGGAAGCTGCAACCAGAATGCTCCTTGGAGGACATCCCCCATCATGGTGGATGAGAGAAGATGATGGATAAAGTCTGCAATTGCTCTTCAGCGCGGGG